TTAATATCAGTCTTCGTTTAAACGAAATTAAAGCCATTTTCTTTAATTTCGTTCTAACCTCAAAACTAGATTTTTTACGGAAAAAACAACTTAATTTCGCTGAAACGAATATGACATTAAGATTTTTGCTAAATTAAGGTGTATCTGAACATAATAACGAAATAATTGTAAAAAATTATCAATAGACTGTGATTATACATAATATATTTTCAATCAGTTTTAAAAATAGAAATTTTAAACTATATGTATGAACATCAAAAATTTAAAGAAGATTTGCAAAACTTATTATATTAATAATTCTTACTATTGAATTCATTCTAAATATATATATGGTTTATTCAGGCCTTATTAAAATTTCAACTAGCTATACAAAAGCTTCTATTTTATTATAATTTAGTGCCATTTATAATATCGAATAAAAAGATTCTTAAGTATATAGCAAACTCTTCGCACGAATTCGTTTTATAAAACAATATTCCATGAACTATATTATGCTCCTCAACCACCATAATTCTCTGACTCCATTAGCATAACAATCATTTTGCATTTATCATTTTAGTTATTCCCATAAAACTATTTACCAACTTAAGTGTTTAATTAAACCGCATAGAAGTCAGTTAGCACATTTAGTAATGCTCAAAACCAAACCGCCCCGCCTCAACACCAAAATGGGAGAGGGTATTTAAAATCGCGGAAAAATGATACAGGAAAGAGATTTTCGTAATTTTCATTTCAGTTAAATTACAATTTTCCATTTTATTATGTATTTAACGTGATAAAAATATTTTGTGTTTCATAATAGAAACATATTATATTTAAATATATGTGAATTAAAATACACAACCATGAATATGCATATATGTATATGTGTACTATATATGGTAGATGTGTACTTGCACTCTTATCAAGAACTATGTTAGGGAATTCGTAAGAGTATTTTTGATAGAAAGCGAGTAGTTTGGCTTTTTGGTGCGGCGCAAAGCAATTTAAAATAAAATTTATGCTAATTTGCGTATATGGAAAATAGCAGATGTACAGTGTATATTTCAACTGGGAATGAAAAATAATGAATTATGAGTATAATTGAAACACAAAGCGAAAATATAATGCTCTAGAAAAAAAAATTTTGAAAGCAGTTGAAATACTCTGCTTTCATATTTTGCATTGGTAATTTAGTATGCAAGGCTATTATTCAAATTTTTTTTTGTGAAAAGAAATTATATTTTAATGGAAGTGAAAACATAATATACTAATATTATTGTTAACAATAGAAAATTGTGATCCATATTGCGTTGCTTTTAACAAAAAACTTATAACAAGTCCGTATGGCTACATAACCAACCACTACTAATACTTATCTGAGCAATAGTATTTTGTGCTTTTAGTAATTTATATTCAATTAACAGTCATAGAAAAAAATACGACAATATACTTGCCTTCACAATCGGAGAGATTAATTTCAAACCTTCCATTAAATCCTTGAAAGGTTCAAGTAAATCATTTTATCTAAAGGGCCCATTAGACAGCAACGTTCGTTGTCAACGCGCGCTTGCCATTACACAAACAATTTTTAAAAAATTTTTTAAACACGCCCCAGATAAAACAACAAATATACTAAAAAATCGCTCTCACATGAGAATTTTTTTCTCCTACTTTTCTCCTACTTTGTGAAATGCGAAATTTGTTTGTGTAATAGTAACAATTGAAATTTTAAGAAATGTGTTGACGAAAATCAAAAAATTTTGATATTTCTTCAAACATGCTCGTGTTTTTGCATATACAGTCGGATTTGGTCGGCATGCAAAATTTTATTTATTTTGAGAAATGGAAGCGTAAACATCGTTTAAATGCACGCATGATTTGTCGTTAGCATGCGATGCTTTGCAAATATGAATGAATTTAATTTTAAATATTTGTATTTTCTACCTAGGTAAAATTTTTTAATTTCCAAAACATTTTATTAAGAAGAATTAAAATATTAATAACCTTGGGCTAAAAAAAATAACCAAACATTAAATTACAATAAAAATTTTGTTTTAAATATTAATTGCATTGTACACCTACGGAAAATTTAAAATAAAATAAAAATACAAAAAATACTAAAAAATACCAAAAAAAAAAATTAAATTATATAAAATATAATATAAATAAAAATAAATATATAAATTGAAATCATAAAAATAAATATAAATATATAAAATAAAATTATAAATTAAATGTAAAACATCATTTTTCGTAAGGAAATTACGCATAGCAGCCGCTGTCGACACTTCAGCGATTGCTTTAATACTGATGAGTGAACAAATTTTGCATTCTTTGCTGGAGGCGTGTTTAAAAAATTGTTGGTAAATTTAATGTGTAATGGAGAGAGAAGACTTCGTGTGTTTGTCAACGCGCGTTGATGTCTAAAGGCCACTTAAGCCATAATAGTGTTATTTTTCGTTGACCTTGTAATCTTACTAAACTTTTCCATATCTACAATAAATAAGGCTTAATACAAGTATATAATCACATTAATAGAAAAGAAAATAAGTGTGTAGTTGACTTCGATTTGGCATTCTAACTGCATGTTCACACTATACAAAGTAATCTTGAACTCTCCTTACAGAGGTTAAAGTATCAAAATAAGGTTAACTAAATTTAACAAAGTTAACACAAGCAAAAATGTCAAATCGAAACAATTTTATTTCTTCATTCAGCATCCACATTCACACTACAATGGCAATGCCGATGCCGATGCCTGGCAAGGACCTTCTGTTAAATGATGCTCCTTGCGAATTTAAGTTCACGACTTTTCGCTTTTCTTTCAGAGAACAATAGCATTAACCATAGCAAAGCATAGTATCAAAGACAATCCATGACAACAAGTGGAAGTTTGAAATCAAATAACAATGAAATAAATATCACAGCTGCATGTGTCAAATAAATATAGACGTGTTTTTTTTAAAATAATATATTTTGAAATTTAAGAAAATATTTTTTAGACAAGTTTATCAAAAAGAAGTTTCAGTCAACTTATTATAAATACAGGAATACAATTGAAGGTATTTAAGCAATGTTTTTTATATTTTATTTCAATGTCAGCAAAAAATATGTAATTTTCTATATTGTTGTTGTTGTTGTGGTTTGAGTTAGTGCTATTGCGCACTTTTACTCTTCTGTGGCTGGTGGGCTTAGCCCTGCTTTAACTATACTAGAATTATTATCATTTATTTATCTTTTAACTGATGATGGACCGTAGATCAGCATATCTTCCTGTGCGTCCCGAGGTGAACTTCTATACATATTTTGAAAATTTCAATAAAATCATCAAATTTATATACATCACTTTGATTAATGATATTTTAGTCTAAACTTGTCATACACACATCCATATTCACGTAACACAGTTTTTATCTTAACATAATTATCGTATTGCTGCAGAAACTAAATCGTATTGCTCTCTTGTACTACTTGGTAGGGTTTGACAAGTGTAGGACTTCTTTCCCTCGTGAATTAAATGTTATGTTTTACACTTCTCTATAATCAACGTAATATTAAAATTGTGATATAAAGAATTAATTGTACTTAAGGGGATAATAATACAAATTCAATATGCTATCTATTATGAGAGTGATGCTTTTAATTGTCAATGCAGCGTAGGGACAATCACAATACAGGCAATCACATGATAAATGATCATGGCATTTATCGCCGTTGATCATGAGTACCTTTTTATTGATCATGAGCAGAAGGGTTGTTATCCAGTGAACGTCATGTTAACTTTAATAGATGAAAAATTTTGTACAGATATATCATGTTTGTTCCTAAAATGCACAAACTCTGGTAATTATTACTGAACAACGTAAGGGCAAAATATATAGAAAGCTAACTTTCATAGACCTAAAATCGGGATTTTTGGACATATGTATAGAGCAAAATTTCTTGGAAAGCATTGCAACAGAATAATATCAATTCGGGGATAGTAAACATAATTCAAGCGACAAGCATGTGAGAAAAATTGTTAAGTTAAGAAACATTTACGAAATTATCCAGTTTTAAATAAGGGTAAGGAATCCTTCTGTTTAACTCAGTTGAACCCATTAGTTTTTGGTATGTTAATGCATATTAACAGTCAAGCTGAGAATATGAGCACCGAACAAAGAACCTTTTAACTGTTGAAATCTTGTAAACGCAGAGGATCGTATAATATTTATTTCAACAACAGAAGAAAGCTTCAAAAGACTGTCAACCAGTGGAAAGCAAAAAGAAATAACAATACAACTATTTATCATCTCGTGAATATTAACCAAATGTTTAATCATACTAACGTTTTAAGAAAGCAAGGCACATACCAATAATTACACAAAACTTTTTTAAAAATCGGATAATATAGAATAAACTCAGCACCAACTATAGAGCTTCGCAAACTCACTGCTGAGGAAAATAAAATAAGAAGCGATGGTACAAAAACCGAACTACAGCAAATTCATATCATATTCATATCATATAGTCAAATGCCATTTATTGAAGTGGTGCAATCATGTCTCAAAACTGTCACAATTGATCATTCTCAGACGCAAACTAAATACTGGAAAAAAATAGTTCTTTACTTGTACTTCTATTCTTATACGCCCAAGATTATTATTTTCAAACACAGTGAGAAAATATAGACCATAAGCAAAATAAAAAGAATGGCGTAGAAAACAATGAAAAAGATTTGAATAATATCAAATACACACGTCTTTACTTCATACCATGTTTTCTTATTTATTAGATCGTGGCACCAATAAAGACGTTAAACACCAATTGAAAGTGCATTTTTTGGACTATAAATTGTTATAGGAATTTTCAATTAATCCAGTTTATAGATATTAAGGTATTTAGGTATTACTTTAGTAAGGCTTTATTAAATGAAGTTTTCGTGTTAAATATTTTCAGATACACATAATCCTAGTTAATCACTTACTATTTTTTATTTTAATTTGATAAAGAAATATTGCAAATTTACACTTCTTTGAAAAAAATGCACTCCATATTCGTATATTTCCACTTTCAGAGTGTTTTAAAAGAAATTGATTTGAGTTTAAAAGAAACCATCTCTTGAAAACTTTGCTAAAACTTCCCAGCTAGCATTTACTCTGCCAGAAAATTTTGATATAAACTTGAAATATCCAGGTTCCATTGGAGGAAAATATTTCGTTGTAACAATACATCGAGTGAAAAGAATGCGACGCTTCGTCAGTGGTGGTACAAACTTCCCAACGATTTGCGGGGCTTTCGGTGCACATTCTCTTGTGTAATTCATAAAGAAACGCTTATAAACACCATTAATATTATTGTGCAACGTATCTTTGGGAGCCTTAATTGCAGTTGGCTTATAGGGATTATTACCATAACGGCTCTTAAGTACAACAATTTCAACCATCCATTCATCGGTTGTATCTTCTTTGAAATCCATTAAACCGGAAAGAGCATACACTCCTCTTTTGATGCGTTCCAATTTCATATTAGTTTCAAAAATATCATTATTAGAGCTACTGCCTTTGACTGAAATAAATTCTACATCCGAATTCATCTATAATAAAAAAATTATATTATATTAACTTTGAATTACAAAAATTATATTTATTTAAAAACTTACCAATCCACCACATATTGTCCAATAGGAAAATAAAAATACAGGAACTATCAATAACGAACCTTTCAACTGCCACATCTTGTATGATTATTAATTAGGTAAAGTATGTACGCTACTTTTTATACCTGATTAATATCATCAAAATTATTGTTTAATTAATTATACAAAATATATAATATATTATTAATTATTTGGTATTTAATAACTTCAACAATATAATATAATAATATTAACTATACGGGATATGATATTATCGTTTGAAAGCATTACATGCTGTTGTAGTATAAAATATGAATAAATGCTGTAGAATATAATATACAGGGTTACGTTTTTAAAAACTATTACATAATTTAAGGCATATCTCATTCTAATCTGATCACGTACAATGAAATGAATATAAAATAAATCACTTTGATAGGTGTTATGTATCTAATAGGTCTTGCATGTTATTAAAAGTCAACAATAGTGTTACAAAGCAACACAATTGATTGTAAATTTATTTTTCTAAAAATAATTAAATATTATTACTACTATATTTTACTACTAACGGTAATTTAACTCGCATAATAACAATTTAACTATGTAATAAATGAACATTGTACTCTAATTGGTCCAATAGATACGAATCGTTTCTACACTGGCTATGACTGGCTGGATATCTGTTTACAAAAAATTAAATAATTCATAAAAATTTCTATTACCCCTCACAGAATTAAAATAAAGATATATATCTCGAGCATATTTTCGAAACGGGTGTAATTTTTCATTTACAGAATTTTCTGAATTTATATTCGATTATAAATTCATAGCGAAAAACTTTGCCTTTCAACAAACTTTAAATAAAATTTTAAAAATAAATTTTAGTTTTACAGATATATGTTAAACTGAGTTGGTTTGATTATATTTAATTAGTATTGTGTGCCAGTGATTAAAATTCAGGCTTTGTTGTCTTTCTACTTTACCCACTATTGAGCACAAGTGATGCATTTTAATATTTTGTTTTTTTTTTGTTTTTGTTGGCATATTATTATCGCAGACTACCACTAAACTTGCTTTGAACTCATTCAAACCAAAATTAATTAAAGAACGTAAAGAACTTAACATTTGAATAAGAAGTTATTCGATGTATAATAATGAAATGGACACCATTCTCTCAAACGCGAATATGGTTGCAAGAAGTTTCACACCCTTAAATTAACATATTTCGTCGGTGCAATTACCATAGTACCTTTCTAGTACTAAACTTTAGTACTGAATGTATGCATACCTTTTTCATTAATATTTCGCACAGTTTTTGGTGGAACGCAAGTAACTAAATTGAATACAAGCCAATTTCAGTGAAAATAATCTCTATAGATCTATCCGACTATCTTGTTTTTTTACTGCAACAATTTTTAAAGCTCAATCATCTATGCTAAAATAGATTATACTGATCTAGATCTATCGCCACTATCTGTGTGTTTTATTTACTGCAATCAATAGAAATCAAAATGGTTGTAAATATAACAAAAATTCTATCTTGTTTTGATATTTCGCTCTACGTACATCAAATATTTTGCCCGAAGATTAATCAATTAGTGAAAGATTCATTATGAAGATATAAGAAGCAGAAAATATAGGTGGATTTTCTTATATAAGCTATAGAGAGTAGTGTAGCAGTAACATCAACACTGCTATTACCAATTCCCTTATATATTTTCATATGTACAATAAAAAATTAAATAAATCCGAAGAAAAAGCAAAAGAATAACTTTGCAAAAAGAATGCTCCGAATCACACGATCAAAACGTAGATGGTTATATGATATGTCTGTGTTGGCATTTGTAATGAGTTTTTGTTTCAATAATATCTTGATTGTTGAAGTATATTCTTAACATATATTATTATTTTTGAATTCATTAAAGAGATGGTTACTTGCACAATATAAGGTATGTACTCGTATAAGGTATATGTTATATATATATGTTATATATATATTAAATTACACCATATTGTATTATAATGACATATGATATTATATATATGAGATATGTATGAGAACGGCTTGATTGTTTTAAGGTTGACAATAATTTGGATAACATATAACATTATGATTTCTTATATCATCGATTATTGAATGATGTGTTGGTAAAGAAACAGGACAAGTGTGACGTTAGTCATTTTAAATGAACTGAAATTTATTCTTCAAGTTAAGTTAGCACAAGTGTTTGCGAGCATCGTTCTGACGAAAGTTAGTAGGTTTTATTATAAAGCAAGTTATTACAAGTGACATATGTCCTCAATCAATGCTTGTTTGAATACTTGTTTGAAGTCAATAAAAAACCAAGCATTTCGAATATTATATATATATTTCTCAAACATTCGCAACATATTGAGAAGTTCAAAGGACTTAATTACTTTTAATTAATTTGATGCATATCAAAAGCGTATAAGGAATTAATTATAATCTTTAACCTGCTTAAGTATACCTGCTCATTGTCTTTCCTCTTTGAAGGATATAGATTGCTATGCATATGATATCTTATGTTTATGAACATATATAATACCACTCAGAAAAATATGCTCTAATCAAATACTAAATTGATCTAATCCTTTTGTTAGAAAAATTTTAGCTCCTCTGGTAAGGTAGATATGAAATCAACACGTGATATGGTTGAACCAACATGATGCGTCGAGTAAGAAAATTTTGACCTGAGATTTAGTTAAAATTTGTTAAAATCAACCAAATTCTTTTTCTGAGTGTTTGGAGGCATTAATGTTTTTTAATGAAAAGTTACCCACTTACTTGGTAACAAGTCATTCAAACATAAAAACCAATCTTTCAACTTAATTAATTTTAATTTTCGATTTAGAATAGATTAAATGTTAAAATTGATTGTCTTGAGGTTGAAAAGTTTTCTATTATTGCATCTAATGCTAAATTTGGGTTCTTCTGTCAATGATGACAAATTAGTTACCATTGTGTTATTATGCACACTCAAATTATCTTCATACTATTACAATTCATAATATTAGAGTGCTCAATAAAAATTACTACTATTTATTACAGAAGAACTTTAAAAAGCCACTTATCGTTTCACTAAATGTGCCGAGTGCATACTTTCAAGTAATATTACATACTTCATGTAAATTATACACAACAACAGAGATACTAGAATACTTACCGTATCTTGTACCTTCCAAGTTCAACTGACTTTGGGAACTATTGTTTCTAACACATTTTCTTTATAATTTATTCTATCTTCTTACGTTTTGTCTGCAACTTAGTTACTTAATAGGTAAACCAACCAGCTTAATTAATTCTCTTCATTTGTCAACTGAGCACTTTTTAGAAGAATCTTCCTAAAATAGCAGACATTTGAAGGATTTACGCATTTTACTTTTTGCATTTTACTCAGAAAGCAGTACGTCTTGTATCCTTGCTTCTATGTGCTTTTAGGTCTTTTATTTGAATTTGCATTTGGCGTACACCTAATTTGATTTAAATGAGTTCGGATAACCGTGACAATGTAATTATGTGTCAACAGCAACAGATGCGAACGAAAATGTAGAATAATTTCCTTCTTGGTTACTGCGGCGGAAAGGTAAATTTATACATTTATAGCAGACGATTTTTTCAACAAATTAAAATGGATTAAAGAAAGTTAAATAATTTAGTTCTTAAGGTTTCATAATTATTATCTTTAATGCACTTTTAAAGAAGTGAGTCATTTCAAGTGACTTGATTTAAATTAAGTTTTTTTTCATTAATTTTCCGAAGTATAAGACATTCCATGCTAGTAAGGAATGAGTAAAATGTATTAGATCGTATATACAAGCATCTTTAATAATTGTGGAAAAATAAGTATCCAAATAATTTTTAATAAAATGAAAACTCAATGTCATCATCTTTACCTTTAGCTATAATAATTCGGTAGAACTTCATGTTCTTTTCCAATGCATGCTTAGTGTCATTAATTTCGTAGTTTAAACAGTTATAAATATCAAATCTAATCATCGATTTAGCGATCGTCGTCTTACCTTGAAAAATTTTTGATTTTTTTTAAACGTATGTTTAAATATATTTTCATTCGTTTCTTTTGGAAGAAATCCATATATCTGCGAGAATATCAAAATGTTTTTAGCAAATAATTTCTTAATATATTTTATTTCGGAAACGACTATTTTAATTTTTTCCTTTGATATGTATTAATTGATATAAATTAGTAAAATTTAAAGAGACATAAAATTTGCTTATGCGACAAAAAGTAATTGGAAACAATATTTGCTAAAAAGGTAATTTTTTTTATTGAAGCATATATAATTTTTTTTAAAATGCAATTTTTATGCTGAAGTAATTATTTCTTTTGACAATATGAACTGCAGAATAATGATTACTAAACAATGAATCACTGTATTGTAATTCATAGATTTACAAAATGAACTTATGTGAAGGCTACAACTGCCGGCATTAAAAATAAGCTCCTTTTACACGCCTGATCTGAAAACTTTATCAAACATCTAAATAGACACAATTAAGAAGATTTAGCCAAACAGATGGCTATCACAATTCTTGAATTTTTAATTCTCTTTAAAATACGTAGGGAATCATAAAACTTCCCCATAGTAATGAGTAATTTGATTCCTTTGATTCTCAATTATCGTAAAGGCATGTCTCTAATTTTTCTGAAGACCCGGTTATCTGTGTGTGGAACCTTGATGTTAATCAATTTAACCTAATATAAATGGTTTTTCATGAAATATTCATTTATATTGTTTTGGTATTAACAATAAAATATTAGAACATTTATAACCTATAACAAGAGACTTCATTTTTTTCCTTCATCTTACTCCAAATCTGCATAACATATTGAATTTCGTATTTAGGGTAAACATTTTATTTAAAAATCTTGTCTTTTCAAAAGTACCTACTGCAGAAGTGTCATACGATACTGCTTATATTGTATGAAACATGAGATGTTATACATGTCGCCATATTCTCTCAGCAACATAGATTATTAACATACCATCTGTCTTCTATACCTTCTGCCTTCTTGCAGGATCTCGTATTTTATTAATTTTTTTTTAAAATTCACCAC